CCCCCCTGCCCTCGGGCAGCGGGACGGGGCCATCCCGGGCGGGGACGGGCCGTGACCTGTTCTCCTTCCCCAGCGGCACCAGGAGTACCTGAAGATGCTGAGCGAGAGGGAGGAGGCGCTCGGTACGTGCTGGGCGGTGGGGGGAGCGGGCGGTGGGCGGCCCTGGTCCCGCACCCTTGGCTGGGTGGCAGGAGCTGGAGCAGGGATGCTGGCACGACAGCGTCAGCTCCTCGTTCCTCTCACGTCGTCCCGGGAAGCTGGGCAGTGGTGTGAGCCATGGCCCTGCAACCCTCAGGGTCCTTCAGTGGGACAAAGGGGGCAGGTGCGTTGTGCAGAAAGGAACAGGCAAAAGGATGTAGCCAAGGTTTTATCAGGCCTTCTCTGCTGGGAGAAGGAGCTTGTCTTCGTTGCTTGTAGTGTTGGTGTTCGAGCCTCACCAGCCTTTAATCCTGCGTGGGTTAAAGGCTGGGTCCTCCCCTCAGCCTGACACTGCAGGAACAAGTGAATGTATCTTGTGAAAAGCTGGGCAATTTGCAGTGCAGGATGTCTTGTCTCCCCAGATGAGGCTGATGAGCTGGAGCACTTGGTGACATCTCAGACAGAGTCTGTGAACATTGACCACCCAAATCACATTGTAACAGTGACGACCATCAGCGACCTGGACCTCTCAGGAGCGCGCCAGCTGGGATTGACCACTCCTGTGGTAAAGCCTCTTACTGCTTCTCTGATTGCGTCGGCAGTAATGTTTCTTGGGGCTGGCTAGGTAGGCCTGGTGCTCCCTGAATATGCCCAAAGACATGCAGCTGGCTGGGAGCAGGGATGGAAAGAGAAACTCAAAATTTCACATTCCTCCACAACTTAATCTTGGGCCTCTAAAGAGGAAGAAAGAACCTACGTGAACAGGTCACTCCAAACCTCCCTGGAACGCTTTGCTAGTCCCAGCTAACCTTTTTTAGGTGACAGGTGTCTCAGGGCTGGCTGGGGAAAATGTAGCCTTTTAAAAGTTGATACAATACAAGCAACAAGATTTCAGACTTGTGGGCTATCCTCAGCCTCTTTCCTGTGTCCTGTGGAGGAAAACTGACTATTGGCTTGAGGGATTCCTTTCGCCATGATCCTGTGTTTGGATCATAAAGAAGGAAACCACTCAGTTGTCATTGCCTTTATTATAAAAACATATTATAATTGAGATCTCATATTTGTTTCATAGCGGTTTCCAGGCACTGCTTGATTTTTGATCCTTTTGATCTCTGTGACTCGTGGCTGGATTTGAGCTCTTTGGGGAAGTCTCTGTGTTTGGTGGTCAAATTTTACATTTTAAGGTCATCTTCTAATCTGAAAAGCCACCTAAAGAGGTTTAAATAGTAATTTAAGAAGGAACCCAAAGCCTTTAATTCATACTTTAGACTTTCATGCCATTCAGAACATGCTCAAGTTTTTGGATCATAGGGTAGATTGCCATAGGACTTCTCACTGTTCCCCTTCTGAGGGTCTGCAATAAGAACCTCCAGATTTGGACACTGGAGAATTAAAATAGGCCTCATCCATGACTAGATGGTTCACAAAACAGGATGATACCGAGAAGGCAGCAGAAACTGGAATCACAAGACTGCCTGTTTTAATGTGCCTATAGGGATTTCTTTCTCTTTTGCTTCCTTTTGAAGGAAAAGACTGATGGATCAGAAGAAGAGAAAGGAGAAGAAGTGGTGAAGAAGCCTGTAAGAACAATGCCGAAGAAGTCCAGAAACCCATTTCTATCTGAAAAGTATGTACAAATTCAGTCAACTTCTTGCTGCTAGGCTCTGCAAGCTGATCAGGAGCATGTTTTGTTCCCAGATCAGCCCTGTGGCAGCGGGGAGGAGGGGGTGCTGTTCTGCATGGGCGCTGGTGGGCAGGAGCCAGCAGAGGGCACTGGCAGAGCACAGTCCTGCCCTGAGCGCTCCATTCCCATCGCACTGATCCCTGGTGACAGCTGCAGGGGGATGCAGGATGGGCTTTGCCCTGAACCGTTTTTCTAGTCGTCCTTCTCAGCAGATATTGCAGGGTGCAGAGCTTGTCTCTAGGATGAAGGTCAAAAGACCTAAAGTCTAAAGCTTTGGCATTCTTCACATCTTTCAGTATCCAGGATTCATAGCTGCTTTCAGTATACAGAGAATTGCCTGACTCTGCAGGGGCTGGACAGCCCACTTCTTAGAAAATCCATTTTGGTGGTTACTGCACGTGTAGACCTGCAGGTTTTCTGCCCTGTCAGGAAGGTGCCCAGCATAGTGGAGTTTCCCTGGGGAGTTGCCATGGTTGGCATCCATTCCTGCCAGGCTACGCAGGGCAGTCCTGCCGTTGCTGTGGTGTTGCCTTGCTTCTGCAGGCTTTGGTCCCAGGTATTTCTCTCTTCCTGCCCTGCACAGGATATCTTCTCTTACTGCCACGCTGCACATGCACAGCCGGAAAAAGACGAAGGGAAAGCGACCCCAGCGTGGGCAGGGTCCCCGCAAGAAGGCCCAGAAATCCAGCACGGGCCGCACCACTAAGACTCAGCGACGGAGGCTGACGGGCAAAATGGGCCGCGACCAAGACTAACAGAGAAGCCAGTGCTCAGACCAGCAGCTGGGACAGCACTCCACACCCGACCTGCTGCTCTCTTGGGCCCCTTCACTGTGGGCGAGGGCAGTAGCGAACCCAGTTCTGCCTTTTTCTCATTTCCTGAGCTTTGGTCAGGATCACTAGACACTCTACCCTTTTATTTCTGCAGTGATCTCTGGGTGCCATGGATCTTTTAAAAACTTCTGCTGAGGGTCAGGTTCTCTATTTGAGAAACCCATCTGTTCTTGGGCCTCCCCTTCCAGAGCTGGTACTTGGCTTTATCAAAGGGGAGAATCTGGTGCTGAGTGCAACAGGCGCGTCGCCAGGACAATTTATGCAACCACGAAATGCTCTGCATCAGTGCCCTGACATCTCTGCTGTGCAGTAAATCCTTTTTCCATGGAAAGACAGTGTCATCCTGTCCCATGTGTTCCTTCCCTTCTCCAGTGCCACACCTGAATGCAGGGGTACTTTTTGTTTGGTACTTGTGCCAGGTGAAATACAGTAACTTTGTGAATAAATCTTTATGAAGTCGTTTTGATAAGAAGACAAACCACATTTGTGACTTATTTGAAGCATAACAGCAACTGTGCTAAGGCCAGTACCAGCTGGGAAGTGGCGAGATTATTCCTGTTCCTTAAAGGATATTGAAATCTGCTGGTGCTTAGGAAAGGGAATAGCTAGGAGCTATTTCTGTGGCAACACAGAACCAGCCAGAGCAGG